TGGCGGCCGCACGGGAGCCTTGTGGAAAGCGGGTTTGAGCCGGGCTCGGGGAAGCGGCGGGGACCTCATGGGAAGGGGGGCTTTGTGGGCCGTCCCCCACGCCCCACCGAGGTCGCCAGCTGCCCCCCACGAGCGGCTCTCCGGCACGGCCACGGCCCCGGAGGCACAAGGACTTAGCACAGAGAACCAGCCGCTTGGAGCAGAAAAGCACCATGGAGATTCAATTTAAAAAGTAATTTTTAAAATGGTATAACTTGATAAACATGAGTTAATGCAGCTCTTTACATGAATTCAAATGAAAGTTCATAACTGAAAAAAAATCAATGAAAAGAAACCAGTTGAAAATAAAAATTTCATAGCAGCTGTGATTCTTAAATTTTATATTAGCTTAATAGTCAAAAAATAATGTCTATTTTTTAAAAAAAAACTAAAAATAATGCCTATTAAACACAACGCTTTTGGGTTCGGAAAACTTTGCTTCAGTCAAGATAAGAGTTCTCTGGCATATGATATATCACATGAAGCTTTAATTTTCTCAAATCTGAAAGGAATTATTTGGCTCATCAAATTGACATGGAAGCAGTATGCCATATTTTGTTCTTTTGTTCTTTAAGTTAGAGCAATAGCCATATATGTTTCAAAATAAATGATAGCCACAAAATTAGCGATATGTGTTCTACCATTCTACTAGACATAGAAATGTGGTTAAGGTTAAAACTCTGAAAGTTAGGTTGAAAATATAATTGGATTTTAAGTGATTAACTTAATGAATTATTCAACTATTGATTTAGTATGATAATAATGCAAGGACACTTAAAATTTTTGGTGCAATGCAATGCTAGCTAGATTTTTTTTTTAAGAATTCAATGTGGATGAGATCTTTCACCAATAAATACTGGGAGAAAAAATTACCAAAGTGGTAAGATTATATTCCTATTAACACTGCCACAAATGAAACTGGCTGTTCCTCCAAAGTTCTATCTTCTTTATTCCTCAGAACCAGTTGACCAAATAAATCATTTCATTGCCACCATTATCAGATGGAGAAATGTAAATTGAGAGAGATAAAAATCATTTGTTAAACGTCCCCGGCATAGTTAGCGGGTAAGACTTGTCTGACTTCTGAATCCAGATGTTTAACCGCTGTCATACTTCCAAAATGAAGTGTCAGATTTTCTTAGCTTTACACCATCAGATGGAGGCTATCTTCCATGCTTTCTCTGACCCAGACATATCAAAGCTTGTAAAACCTTACAGTTGATTTGCCTCGTCTTCCTTGTGTGAGTGTTCTTGCAATTTGTACATGACTCTACATATCAGCAGAGCCACTGGGGCTTTCTGGAAGCACTGCTGTGCTTTTACCCATTAAAAATTAATAACAAAAATTACCTCCTTAATTAATAGGCACAGGAGGAGTTTCTGATTCACCGCAGAATTTTATGTTGCATATTCATCAAACTCAAAATAATTTAACAACTCCCTAATTAATTCTTAATTGATATCACCATGCCATTACTAACCCATCTGCAAGTGGACATATACCAAGAGACACATCCTGAGGTGTTTTGGATATAAGGTCCAAAGCAAACACAAAAACCACAGAAAATTTCCTCACTTGGTCATACAACTGACTCTTAGTTGTTTCATACCTTTGGATTCAAAAAGTATTAACACAATGAAATAAAAGGGCAGAAGGGAATGGGTGCTTGCTTACATATGGAAATCTCAAGCAGGAGCCTTGAGCCCTGTGGTACGGCCCTAGAGGCCAGTGTCCAGGGCCAAGATGGACTGGAAACTCTCCCGGGCATCACTGGGCCAAGAAGCACCAGCTGGCCTTTTCTTCCGGGTGTCTGGCCACCACCACAGCTGGCCTGGGGTCCTCAGAACCTCCTGGCAGAACTGCAGAAGGAATAGCCTGGCCTCACGCCTAAGCAGAATGGTTTGAGCAGGTATGTTCTAAGCGACTTAATCTTCTCTAGAGATATTGTTCTGTTGTATTGTTTGAACATAGGGATATTATGCAAAAAATCTTTTTATGAATTCAAATGTATTGATTTTAACTCAGGAAATGCATCCCTTGCTAGAAATCAAATGTCTTCTTTAAATTTTTAACAATTAGTCCTCATAAAATCGACTCCCATACTAGAATTTGGTGAATGGAAATTCAAATCAAGAAGCACAGCTTCACATAATACATAATAAAGTTTTAAAAAGATTATGAGAAAGCATCAATCACAGGACAAACTCTTTGCGCTGTAGCCAAGCTATACTAGGCTTCTGGTTCATTCTAACAATGAAGACTATTTTTCATACATAGACGTCACCCATTTATATAGGATGGTACATATTTTGAGATAGGTATTAATTTTATCATTTTAACAACAGAGTAAAAGGGACTCGGGAAGATTCAATCTCTTCCACCAGGCCACTGGAATTATGGGAGAGCTGGAATTCTAACTTCACTGGACCTGCCTCCAAAATGCTGTCTTCTCTGACCACTGCTGTTGGGTCTTTAACTTGATGAAACCATTTAAGGGCCAGAGCGATAGTACAGCAGGGAGGGCACTTTCCTTCCACGCAGCTGACCCTGGTTCAATCCCTGGCATCCCATATGGTCCCCCAAGCACTGTCAGAAGTAATTCTGGAGTGAAGAGCCAGAAGTAACCCCTGAGCATCACTAAATGTGGCACAAATTTTAAAACAAAAAAAAAATCTTTTAGAAGTCATTTTCTCTTGAGCAATACTGTTAATACTGACTTAGGATAACAGCTTGGGGCATGCTGGAGTGATATTTTAGCTCAGGGAGGCTGGAGAGACAGCCCAGTGGGTGGGATACTTGTCTTGCACACAGTTAACTCAGATTCCATTCCCAGGACCTCAGATGCTCCCCTGAGCCCTACCAGAAGCAACCCTTGATAAAAGAACCATAAATAAGGTCTAAGGTCTCCCCAAAACAACCTCCCCCCAAAAACAAAGGGAGCTCAGTGATTCACTACAGGTACAGGATTTCTCACCATCCAACTTAGATGAGCAACTACAAAGTGCTAAAGCTCATCGCAATTTAGTCCTCACAAAAACACCCACACCAAGAATGGGATAAATTGCATTTTAATGAATAGGCTCAAATCTCCTGACACCAAGATCTGTTTTAGTCTTCTTTCCTCTGTATTCTGCTTCAGTGTCAGAATTTCCAAGCGTATTTTTCCCATCAGCTTCAGCCATGATGAACATAATACTCTTCCTCGTACAACTTGGAAACAATACAACCTTCCACTCTCCAGCTAAGACGAGAGAGGACAAAGCCTGGTTCTAGCTGATGGTGCAAAAGAAAAACCAGAGTTGGGGCCAGAGCCACAGGACACAGGTAGGGCACTTGCCCTGCACGCTGCCGACCCAGGTTTGACCCCTGGTATCCCATGTGGTCCCCGGAATCCACCAGGAGTGATCCCTGAGCACCACAGGTGTGGCCCCAAACCAAACTAAAAAGCTAAAGGTACTGATACTGAACCTTCATTCTGACTCCTAATTCATCCTAAAATAATATGCAGTGTCTGCTATTTAAAGCTATTTAAAAATATTCCAATAACACCCATATGCAAAAAATCATTTGGCAACTTAGGGTTCTATTATGCTTGGAGGTCACACAGGATAGTCCCCACACACAAACGGTGTGCGTTCTGTTAGGCTTCTGCCCATCACCTGACATCCAAGGAAAATGCTTGGCAATGACTTTGTTCAGCGTGACACAGACCTGAGAAAAAGGGCCGTGGTCCAGGAGCTGCACTTGGACCAAGAGCGGCCTTCCTGAGAATCACCACAAACAGCTCTCCCCAGAACCAGCAACACGGGGGCAAGAGCCGGGGCTGGAAAGGAGGCACTCAGGAAATTGTTCTCGAAATCAAATTATCGCAGCTTACGAAGGTGATGGAGAACGCTCTCTTCCAAGTTGGGGCCATCAGATGTATACACTGGATAAAAATGTGAATGCCTACAACCTATTCCAAAGACTAAATGTTGCATCTGAAGACATGACGTTTTAACACTGAATGTAAATTAAATCATTCCAACTATCGTAGACTCCTTAATTCACTCAATGAGAATTTTCCTCACAGCGCTATGGGTATGCATATGTTGATGACAGGGTTTGGCTCTTATTGACCACCGTTGATTTTGAGATTGGATGTGTTAACATCGGTATTAACCTCTGCAGGAATTACTGAGGAGGCAAGTGTTTCAAATGGTAAATCTAGATATATAAAACTCCTGTTTGGTCACTGTCACTGTCACTGTCCTCCCGTTGTTCATCGATTTGCTCAAGCGGGCCCAGTAACGTCTCCATTGTGACACTTGTTACTGTGTTTGGCATACCGAATACATCACGGGTAGCTTGCCAGGCTTTGCCGTGCAGGCGAGATATTCTCGGTAGCTTGCCAGGCTCTCCAAGAGGGGCGGAAGAATCAAACTCAGGTTGGCCATGTTGGGTACATGCAAGGCAAACGCCCTACCTGCTGTGCTATCGCTCCAGCCCCCTGTTTGGTCATATACACTAATTAAAAAATAAGATAGTATAGCTTTTTAGCCAAAATTAAATTTTCTCTAAGTACTTTGGGGTTGGCCTCCCCAAACTCAGGGCTTACTCCTGGCCATGTGCTCAAGTATCATTCAGGTGATGCTCAGAGGAAAAGTGTGATGCCAAGGATTTAACCAGGCCAGGCCGAGTACGAGATCTTACCCCAACTCAAGTGTTTAGCCAGAATTTCCTCTTGTGAAATTAACTCTCTTCTTTTTCTATACATAACAACATCCTAACAAAATATCTTTTTTTTCCCACAACACATTTTAATATCACTAGAATCACTTGTTCATGGTCTCTAGCATGCTACTAAAATACAACTGTGGTCTGAAAAAAACAAATGCAAACTGAACAATATTTATCTCACAAGGAAATCTAATTGATCAGCATCAATGTTATGAGACACAGGCATTTATTCATAACTTACCTGGAGGATAAAGATTCTGATCCTCTAAAAATTCCAGATCAAGCATTAGATCATCTTCATCCAGTTCACAAGATCCCAAATTATTCAAAACGTCCTGAAGAAAAAACAAAATCAATAGCTGAGACCAAACACTGAGAAACTGAAATATCAACCAATCAATGTCACGAAGCAAGAAAAATTCTAAATTAGAAACTAAAGGCTTTAATGAAAACCAGACTAATTTCTGACTTTCAATATCAGCCCCGGAAAAAGTTCCAAGTATTATTATATTCTTAGTTTCTCTACATATTTTCATGTTAGTTTTCTAATGCTCACGTAACAATGATACAGATTCAATATGTGCTGATATAAAAGAGACTAGGAAAAAAAGACTTTACTTTAATCAAATCATCTTAATGATCCTTTCAAACTGGATTGTTCAACCCTGCTTTGGATTCTGATATACTCACCCAGAGAATGAACAATACATTGTTTTAAAATGATTTTATTATCACAACAGGAAACAATTCTGAAGTGCGGCCACTGATACTCGAATGTATAACAGCAGGAACAAGTACCAACAAAGTGACACATTAAATTTGGAAACTCACTGCATTGTTCTAATTTTACTCTCATTTTGTAGGTGACAGTTGACATTTGAGCCTGCGGGAATTCATTTATCACTGGTCCAGATGAACTGTTTTAAATCTTCTCCTTCCAAATTGCCTTGCTTTGCTCTCTTGCTTACAAAGCAACTTTCTTGTGAGTAGAGTCTTTGGAAGGCAGCAAGATCGCATAAGAGAACGGAGTGTAATGATCACGCAGCAATATGAGATGCTTGAGAGAATGACAGAACTAAAAAGGAGTGACTCCAAAAAGTAACAAAATGGGAGACTAACACCCAAAGGTAGTAGAGATAAGTCCCAGGAGGTCTGTTCCACGGCTTGGAAGCCGGCCTCACGTGCCGGAGGGGAAAAAGCAGCTCAGATAGCGAAGGGAACACCAAGGAAAGGATGCTTGAAGGACCCACAAGGGATGGGAGATGTGTACCGAAAGGAGACTATAGACTGAACCTGATGGCCACTTAATACCTGCATTGCAGACCACAACACCCTAAAGAAGAGAGAGAGAGAGTAAAAGGGAATCCGCCTGCCACAAGGCGGGGGTTGGAGGTAGGGGAGGGTGGGTGGGAAGAAGGGATGGGTGAGATACAGGGAACATTGGTGGTGGAGAATGGGCACTGGTGGAGTGATGGGGACTCGATCACTGTATGACTGAACTATAAGCACGAAAGTTAAGTTTGTAACTGTATCTCACATTAAATTTTTTTAATTTAAAAATAAATTAAAAGAAAAAGAAGTGATTCCCTGGTCTCTTCCTTAAAAGAAACTATCACAGGGGCCAAAGTGATAGGACCACAAGAAGGGTGCTTGCCTTGCAAGAGGCCGACCTGAGTTCAATCCCCAGCATCCCAGATGCTCCCGTGAGTACCAACAGGGGTGATTCTAAGTGCAGAGCCAGGAGTGACCCCTGAGTATTGCCTGGGGTAGCCCCAAATCTCCCACCCAGCTCGCCCCCCACAAATTTCCAGGAGGTGAATACAACAGGATGTTTACTCGCAGTCAGCACTGAGAGGACCTTGGTCTCCCCAACTCCCACAAGGAAAAGAAACCAGGTGACCCAGGAAGCTAGAAACACAGGTAGAGCTTGTCTGTGGGACTCCAGCCTAGACACCTCCCATAGAGTCTCCCAAGACCACTGGCACTCAAAACCAGGGTAAAACTTAAACATCACCACGTGTGGCCAGGAAACAAACAGAAAGCACTGAACAAAACAGAGGAAACTGATCCCTCTCTTACAGAAAATCAGGATTATCTTTAAAAGAAAAAAATGTCTTTTAGACACTTAGACATTTAGAATTTAGACATTTAGCCGAAGATTTAGACATTTAGCCGAAGACCTCCAGAACCAGCCACCACCATGCTGAGACCACTCTCCACACGCATGAAGGTACCGGCTGAGGAACAAAGGCATGCGGGTCCCGGGGCTGAGATCTCCAAGCCTACTCGGATCGGAGCTGAGCATCCTCCACCCAGATCCTCCAAATTCCAGTAGGCAGGGGTCACACCCACCAACTGGCCCCCTAGCGCCGTGTAATCCCATCAATGGCCAAGACCCAGAGACTATAAAACCCAGCTCCCAGAAGCTGACATCTTATTATCTCATTCCTACTTTGAACAAACTGGCAAGCTACCGAATGTAACCTGCCCACACGGCAGAGTCTGGCAAACTCCCCGTGGCGTACCCAATATGCCAAATACCAGTAACAATGAAGGGTCTCATTCTCCTAACTCTGAAAGAGCCTTGAATATGGCACTTTTTAAAAAATCTCAGGGCTAGGACTAAGGAGACGTTACTGGGGCTTGCTCGAAGCAATCAACAAATTTAGAAAAGAACGAGAAATGCAATTCGCTTTCTAATCTCTGACATGATGAGCACCAAGAAAACAAAAACAATAATCATTACGCCGGAATGAAACGCTGCACTTGTTGAAGGTTAGGAGTTCATAATACTCGAAAGTTAATAGGAAGGCCATAGAGGAAATAATGAAACAGACATCCAGCCAAACACACGCTGGGTAGGTGATCTTTAATTTTAATAAAGATACTATACGCAAACTCTTCTAATAACTATGGATGTTTCTAAGAAGAGAACTATAAGAACAGACGAGCACATCAGTTCTCGGAATAGAAAAGGCTGGTCAGCATTGATGGTCACACAATTACCAGGTGGAAGGTCCAGCATTTAATTAACCCTAATGAGCATAACCCGCATCGGAGAAGGCACTTCTGTGTGTCTCAGACGTTTGATAAATTAGTAGGGTAGCCAGAAGTAGAAACTAAGCAGAAATATATCCCATCCCCTGGCAGATGAAAACTTATACAGCTCCACATAATAAAGTATAATAAAGAAAGTCCATGAAATTTTAATAATGTTAATATGCCAGACATATATATATGATATCATAATAGCAGAAAAACATTATAAAATATCAGCATCTGGCCCTTAAGACACAAACTATCTCAGGAGAGAATATCAATACTACACAAAATTAAAGCCAGGCTTGAATTGAAAATAAAGACCTACGGGTATAGAACAAGGAGAATTTAATTGTAGGAAAGAAGATCTACTTTGGTAGTCAGTGTGTTAAGTTTAAATTTTACGGCTTATAAATGTACAACAAACATGTACAGACGGCTGGGTGAGCTGCTAGCAAGCTGATTACCAGACCGTGCAAAGGTAAGAAATGTTAAAATCCCTACGCTCACTAAATACTAGAGAAGTAAAAAAAAAGACTCAGATATTTCAGAAATGCAAATATGAAATTTCCATATCAGTATTAGAAGGTAAAAGGGTCTTTCATGTAAACTGTCGATTCAGCAAAGATACAAATAGGTTTTAAGGAAAGAAAACTGGTTTCCTCAGGGATCACTGAAATACATATAATTTTCTCCTTCGAAACGGCTATAGATGTGGAGTGAGAGTACAGCGGGGAGGGTGCTTGTCTTGCACGCAGCCGACCTCAGTTTGATCCTCAGCATCCCAAGTGGTCCCCCAAGCAGTGCGAGGAGTGATCCCTGAGCACAGAGCCAGGAGGAAACCCTGAGCATTGCCAAAAACAAAATAAACGTGGATATAGCGTTAAATTTAATTTATATATTAAATTTGGTATTTTAACAATACACAGATAAGGAATAGGTTACATAAAATTTAACACAATGCTTAAAGGTCATACAAAATGTAGTGAATTATATAGATACTTTGATAACAGATTATTTCTTTGTAAGAAAATGCAAATAAGATCAATAACTGCAAATATGCTCAATAAATAGTAGCACTGTAGCACTGTCCTCCCGGTGTTCATCGATTTACTCGAGCGGGCCCAGTAATGTCTCCACTGTGAAACTTGTTCCTGTGTTTGGCATATCGAATACGTCACGGGGAGCGTGCCAGGCTTTGCTGTGCAGGCGAGATACTCTCGGTAGCTTGCCGGGCTCTCCAAGAGGGGCTGAGGAATCAAACTAGGGTTGGCTAGGTCGGCCACATGCAAGGCAAACGCCTTACCCACTGTGCTATCGCTCCAACCCAATAAATAGTAAATCTACAAATTTACTACAAATACTACAAATTTACATATTCTCTAGATCACAGATATTTAATAACTTCGATACCAGTCATATAATGTCCAAAATGGGTATGCAATTTTACTAATTATTAATTAAATAATTTATTTTTTCTAAAATACTCATAAATACTGATCCTAAATAGATATACTTTTTTTTTCTCAAAGATAGGTTAATATAGTTGCATCTAGAAAGAGAAATACAACTTTGAGAAATAAAATGGGTATCACCACTTATAAAACAGTTTGTATGTTTGGTAAGTTTTGGTTTCTCAGAGCTTGACTGCTATTAGCTAAACTAATAAAACTGCATTTCTGAAGCTACAACATTGAAAAACTAAGCTATGATAGCTCAATTAATACACAATCAGGCCTGCTGAGAAAAAAAAAATTCCTTAGTCTCATTTGTCTCTTTTTTTTTGAAGTAACAATAATAATTACAACACCATTCAGGATAAAGCAGAGAAGTGTCATCACACAAGGAGTCCCTACTTAAAAACGAAAATAATCCTATTGAAGGATATTATTAATTTTCAGTTATGGATGTAATTTTCAGTTGTGGTTGGTATGATTACGATTACAGCATTTCTATACTGTCATATTTTAAAAGGACTTTCCAAGTAGGCAAGAGTACCTTAAAGACAGGACGTGATGCCCTCATTGGGATGTTAACTGCTATCTAGGAAATATTCAATACAATAGAGTAATTTGGTCATTCTTTGCTCTAAAAGCAAACAGAGTATTATCAAACAAATGGGGTATAGCGATCTCATTTGAATTCTACTAGTCACTATCATTTGTGATCAGTTGCTATACCCTTATACGTATAATTCTCATTACTCGAATAATCATCATATATTCACTAAAGCAAAATATTATTATTGAAAATTTAAAACATAATACTGCAAAACGTAGATCTCCTGCATGAGTCG